GAAACAAACAGTAATAAAGAGGAATAGAAAACCTTTTGTTTTAACTACGGTTCATCAGCTACCGTAACAACAGGTATCTTACCTGATTCGATCGAATCGCTCCACTCGTTAATGGAACGCTTCCCCAATTTGACTAAATCTATTGTGATGATCCTCCTGGTGACAAATCATATGGCTCAGCAGATAGTCACCAAATGATCATCAGTCACGACCAGACCTCGCCGACTGACACCGGACAAACTAACTTTTGCTAAGCGTGAGTCCAACACTGCTTTCAAAAGGCATTGCTCGTCCTTCTCACAGTCCATGGTTCTTGAAATCGACGGCGTTAGCTAGAGACCATGTGGTGATTATCGAGTGCCTAACGCAGTGACTCGTTTTGATATCTCCACGATTCCTCACACACACGACATCACTGCGTAACTTCATGGTTTGACTATTTTTTCGAACATAGATTTAGTGCGGGTCTATCATCAAATCCCAGTCGCTCCTGAAGACGTAGAAAAAACTGCTGTCACGACTCGCTTTGTTCTTTTTGAGTTCCTAAGTATGCCTTTTGGTTTGCAAAATGCTGCTCAAACTTTTCAAAGGTTCATCGATAGCATTGCACGAAACTTAGCTTTTGCTCACGTCTATATCGATGATTTATTAATAGCATCATCCACTTTGGACGAACATTTTCATCATTTGGCATTATTGTTTGAACGTTTATTCAACCATCAAATAATGGTCAACCCTGATAAGTGTGAACTTGGTCGATCGGAACTTATTTTCCCTTCCCCGCAAGCTCACAAGAGAAGGTATTCAGCCGTGTGAGGATAAGGCTCGTGCCATAAGAGACTATACCTTACCATCTTCCCTCAAAGACCTCAAAGCATTTTTGGGACTGATGAACTTCTACTGGAGGTTCATTCCTCACGCTGCTGAAGGGCTACGACCATTGACGGATCTACTTCGTGGCAATCCACGTAAGCTTGTACTTACGGATTCCGCACGAGTAGCGTTGCCCGAGGTAAAAGAATGTATAGCACGTACGACGCTCTTTATGCATCCCGATCCATCAGTCATGCCTAGCATTGCGGCTAATGCCTCCGATTATGCCATCGGAGCAGTCTTGCAGCAACACGCTTCTGGGATGTGGCAGCCTCTCGAGTTTTATTCTCGACGCCACACTCCTACAGAAACCAGATATAGCACTTTTGGTCGGGAACTGCCAGCTGCTTACAGTTCAGTTAAGCATTTTCGGCATGCAGTCGAAGGTAGGAATTTCACCCTTCTCACCGACCATAATCCTCTAACGTAAGTATGCTTTGCATATCAAGTCTGATCGTTATTCTCCACGATAAACCAGACATTTAGATTATATTTCACAGTTCACGACTGACCTTCGACATGTGCAGGGCAAGTCGAACTGTGTCGCTGATGCGTTATCACGCATTAGCATTAATGTGATAACGCCCACCGTACTAGATTTCCCTGGCATGGCTACAGTACAGGCAGACGAGACCTTTTGTCAAGAAGCAGCCCGTTCACCCTGGTAGCAATGTTAAGCAGTACCTCTGGCAACGACGTCTGGCACTATCGTCTGCGACATCTCAACAGGAATCCCTCGCCCAATGGTACCTTCTTCTTATCAGTGTCTCGTGTTCGGTACCTTACACCCAGGTATCGCAGCCACATTACGCCTAATTGCTGCACGATACGTCTGACCGTCCATGAATAAAGATGTTCGTATGTGGGCGAAACTGTCTCCAAGATTTACAGGCACGTAGTTTCATCTATGGGCACTTTTGCTACACCTGATGCTCAATTTGATCATGTGCACATAGACATTATTGGACCTTGACCACCGTCACATGGGTATACGAATATACTTGTGTGCGTTGACCGGTTCGCAAGATGGCCCGAAGCTATTCCCATCTCTACGGTCACGGCCGAAACATTGGCTCGACAATTTGTGGAACGATGGGTAGCTTCATACGGTTGTCCCTCTACGATTACTACCTGCAGAGAACAACAATTTGATTCCGATCTTTTCTCCTCATTAACGCGTATGTTGTGTACGGAGCGCATTCGAACCACAGCCTATCATCCAGCATCTAATGGTTTAGTCGAGCGTTTTCACCGACAACTTAAGGCTGCCCTAAGGGTGCGCGAGAATTCTAATTGGCACGAAGCGCTACCTCTAGTTTTGCTCGGAATTAGAACTTGTGTCAAGGCAGATATCCAATGTTCCACCGCTGAACTTGTCTTCGGCACGACGTTGCAACTGCCCGGGAAATTGTTTACGCCACGGAGTAGTGTGAACATAGGTATACCGACATACGTTCAACGTTTGTCCACCTTCATGCAGGCACTGTCTCCGGTGCAAACACGAATGCAACATCGGCAGGTGTCCCCCCCCCACCAATTGTCTCCGTGCTTGAATGCATTCTTACGAGTTGATTCGGTACGTAAACCTCTACAACAATCTTACGAAAGACCATTTCGTATCATTTCACGTTACGATAAGACCTTTAAGGTTAATTGGCATGGCCGCGTCGATACGATTAGCACAGATCGTCTTAAAGTAGCATACGTTGACGAAAACGTCATGCACGCTAGCACTAAACTTTCTGCTGATCCTTCCCAGCCTCTGATTGAGACACCAGTCTCATGTTTAGGTTTGCATTATTCTCCCGCTGCACCAGTTTTAGACGAAGCATCTGCTTCACGTCTTTGCTGGCAGCCTCCACAACTTGCCACGACTCCGCATGAGGTTTCATCCTCACATTTGAGTCGGCAACTATCACTTCCTGCTACGGTTTTGGATGAGCTCCTCGCTTCACATTCAGACCGGCAGCCTCGCGCAACAGTTACGATTTCGGACGTGAGCCCGGTTTCATGTCCAAGTCAACCAGATGCAGCTTTATCTCGACCATCGAACGAGACTTCTGTCTCACGTTCCGGTCGAAGGATCGTTTTGCCGGCACGTTTTCGAACGTAGGTAAAACCCGATCCTAAAACATGGCACATTACACAGCAATACCATCGCACCGACTAATATCACGAGCTCCACTTTACATTTGTTGAGCATTTATATTGCTATTTTGGTACTGAAAGCGTATGCATTTCCCTATCTGCGGTTGCTACACCACGTGCTTCTCTCTTTTCATTTTCAT